ATAACCTGTACTGATATTTAATAGCTACAGTGCATGCACAAGTAAATAGAAGACAGATTATAAATTAACTATTCACCAGTAATATTTCCGATTTTCAAACAACTTTTAAAAAACAGATACTTACTGTATCGACAATAACAATAGCTTGTATAAAAGCTTGTATGCACAAAGTTTTCGTAAAAAACATCAACTAATTTTTTTTAGAGTGTCACAGAGAGCTGCCTGATAGATAGTGATCAATCGCTTCGCTGCATTTCTGACATAATAATTCTAATATGTTACCACATTTGACGCTTTCTCTTTTAAATGCAATTTTTATATACTTACTTTCTAGTGTTCTGCAACATCTGGAGGCATCTGGTTAATTATAGTAAGTTTCACGGAAATTGATTTGACAAAATTAAGCTAAACGTAAGACTTCGAAAATAATTCCAATAGCATTGAGATTAACAACTCTAGGCCAACTTGCTATATACATTCCAATATGTGTACTGACGCGTGTTATAGTAGTAACAATAATACTTGAGTTAACAATTGTGGAAAGCCACTATAAGAAATTTGCGTGAATCCTGTGTTTCAGTTCACTGCTAATCGATTATAATTTGCTAAAACAAACTATGATGAGGTGTTCAAAAAAAATTACATTACAAAGTCACTTGCAAAGTTTATCCAGATATCCATTATGTTAAGCAGGCATAAATTTAATTAACTGAACTCTAGCAGTTAACTTTATACAATGCTTATTATTTTAATAAACTTTGGTCTATTTTAATAAAGAATCGGAAATTTTTAAGCATTCTTTTCTTTGTATAATTAATAAAACTTTTATTTTATAATCGTCCATTAAAATTGCCAGAAATCTTATTTTTATTTATTCGTAGAAGACGTGGCTTCTTAATACTTGGAGTGGATATAAAAAGCTTACCTTTTAACGATCTAGGTTCACTCATCTACTTTTAATTACACTAATAAATTTAAACCATTACTTTTATAATGCAAGAACAGCCACCTATTGTTATTATTTTTCAACAACAATGCAATAATGAAATACAACAAGAAACGTATTCTTCCAATATAACGGTTGAGAACAGTGTAGTTGACTTAATTATTACAATTGAAGACATTATAAGTTCAGGTTCTTATATACTTTCAATAGATACTCCAAATATTCATATTAAACTCTCTGATACTATCGTGTTTCGGTTTGACATGAATAGATACGATGAGGATGAAACTATTAAAACATTGTATGATGCTGCCTTAGAAATCTACTTACTTGATGGCCACATAGAATCAAGTGATAAAATTAAAATATATGTTTACCCAGCTCATACAGCTATAGTTATTGATAATGAGAATATGCCTGAACTATGCATAGATGATGGTTCTAAAACATAAAATACAGTGGTCATTATAATTATACCAATACACTACTTTTGTTATTCAGACTTGCAATTTTAAGACAATCAAGCAACTAATAAAACGCCCTGATGTATTTTTCTTAATTGTTTTAGTAGAATATATAGTTTATATTTGTAACCAATAATTGAATATTTGTTATGGTTAATAAACAGTCGCCCAAAAACAGTACAAGTCATTTTGATACTTAACTATACCTTTTTATATCAGAGAGCACAGCAATGCTAAAATTAATGATGCATTTGCAATGGACAGACTAGCATTGAATCTAGATAGATTAATAATAACAGGTTGATTGCTTCATTTTTTAGGTTGGGACAAAGAATTGAAAAATAAATTAGCATTAATGTTAGTATACTTGGTAATAGCACAAGTGTTTCAATTGTAAATGAATGAAGAACTATCAGAGGCAAGCATCATGCAGCCTACTTTTTATATCTTGCAAGATGAGATAGCATATACACATTCCATCCCATATCACCATCAAGCTCTGATTTCGGATTGTTGCACGATGCCGAGATGGGGCTTGATACATTCACACATATAATTACACCAATAAAAGTTTAACAAAAATGGATAAAAAAAAGTCAAATTGTTTGTTTTATTACAATTTGTGTATATTCTTTATTAAAAAAATAGGACATATAAAGTATTATTTGAACAAATATTAGACATTATTTACATTTACCATGTCAATATTTATAAAACTAATATTTATTGTTTAAATTATTTATTTGCTGCCATAAATGTATACAGAAAAACACACAGTCTGTTATAATATTGACTTAACTATGTTGCAATTACTAAAAATTTAATTTATAGAACATTAGCGGCATATGACAGTTGGTAAATAAATCAAATGGGGTGTAGCTTATTGCCTTGTGACCACGCGAGGTGTAATTTCACAAAAATAAACATGTTTGCTAGTTATATTTTCAAAATCATATTCTTCTTGTTCAATACCTGCATATGATTTACCAATGTCAAATAAATAAAAGTTTTTATTTTCAATATACTCAAAGTAAGAGTACTCATAACCAAATATATTAGAATCACCCGTTGAACATATAAAATTATATATATCATCATTATATATCTGGTACATAAACATAGGTTTATTCTCCTTGTTATCAAAGTAATAATCAACTAAACGTTGGCGCAAATCATTTTTATGAATAAGTTCCCAGCTGTGATTGTTATTTTCATAGACTCTAACCGCAATCAAACCATGTTGTTGTGCTTTTTCGTAGGCCTGGCGGAATTCTTCATTATTTTCGGCACTCATATTTATGAATTAATATTTTCATATAGAAAAGTGAATAGCCGATGCCAGGTGCTTTGCCTTATATAGTTAAAATTATTATGAATTTTAGAATTGTTGCTTATACATTTTTTACATTTTCATCTGAATTAGTATTGCTAATTATAAAAGAATCGATTTATTATTTAATTGCATCTTTATAATCAAAGGAGAAATTACACACATTTGCTTACAAAAATATTTACCTTTTGCAAATATTATTGTAAAAGCAAATGTATGTACTGTTTTGCCTAAACGTTTTTTATACACAAATAAATTTGGAATAACCATTATAAAAACAAATAATTGAACATATCAAGTATCCATTGATTTTTAAAGGCAAAAAACAAAATAAGTTTTTTATACATTTTATTGTCGTCAGCTGTTTAGTTTTTTATTTTAAGAATATACAAATTAAAAATAGTTTATTAAAGCAAATATCTATTTTTACAAGATTTTGGTAGTGACTTACCGGTTTGATTCCATTAATATAAATTAAAAATTTAACCAATATTTTTAATTTCTAATGTGTTGCCTTGCATGTAAATTGTAGGTTATATGTTAATGTTTTATCTAGTAATTGTGACAATAACATACTTTGTTATTTTGTTTTTTAATAGTTTATCTTAAAATTTAAGCACAATAATGAAGTTGACAAATATGGTTTACATTTTTATCTTATAACAAGTATTGCATTATAAAAACGGGAATTATTAAACACATTCATGCAGACTAATTTTTGTGTTTTAAGGTCATCAAAGTTGGTTATTAATTTTGGGTTGTTTACTAAAATTTGTGTAATAAGTGTTATTAAAATGTTCAATCATTTTAATAAATAATATTTATTATCGCTAATATTGGCATCTACTTAGTTAATCTAGAAAGGTGATGAACATTCTGGCCAAAAGTATATTCACATGTTTTAAAAAGTTTTAGAACAACTCTTAACTTGTGTTCTGCATGATATAAAGAGTGATTTATCTAATAATAAATTATTATTAATTGTTGTTACTATAAAGTATGTTTATTAATTGCGACGTCATTATTATTTAAATATTTAAATTTAACGTTGTTTGCTACAAAATTATGCAAATACAATTTTTGTGACATGTTCATAGCTTACTTATTTATTTCCAAAACTTTAATTAATATTTTTAAACTTTGAATTATGGTTATCCTAAACTTGCACAGAACATCATAAAAGATTTGGGCTACAATATAGTTCAACATAGTTGAATGCTTCTTGTACTTACAAAGTATTACAAACTTTTTATGGTTCAGCTTCCGTCTAATTTTTATCAAAAAGCAAGTACTTACTGAAACTCTATTCACATATAATATTGTCATACGCAAAAAATCCTATGTTTTTGTTTACAGATTGACATTAGTTAAACAGTTAATTAATAAGTTAAAAAAAGTTCTGTAGTCAGATAATTGGGTCATACACTTGAATTTCAAACCAAAGCGTCTTACTATTATATTTATCTAAAATAATAAAGTTAATTACTCTTATCTAAATATTAAAAAATGCTGAGTCCATTTTACTTCTTAAATGTAAGACGTTTTAAAGTTAATGGTTACGAAATACAGGAAGGACATCCACATTCACAATCTTCAATAATTTTTTGTTATTAGAATAACGCCACAGGTTACAGATTGGCGATCACAGAAAATTAGATCATCCAAACTAATATGAATCTATTTGAAATGCTTCTCTATTGACCGGATTTAACATCATGCAACTTCTAGCTGCTCCCAAAATTCAAGAACAGGATGTATAGCATGGCATTTACCACCATTGGTTAGGTATAAAAGGTATGGAATGTAAAGCACTTATTTCCAAATTAACACCTATGAAGCATTTTAGGAATTATAACTTTGCGATTTTTTGGGAAGTTAATTATAGTTGCGGATATTAAATTTATAAAATATGTCAAATATGTAGAAAATACTTTCAACATGGTCAATACTTGATGAAACACTTGTTGCTTATCGAGTTAGGGTTATAATGTTTAAAGAATTTCTCATTCTCAAAGAAACCAACAACCAGAGTAGCCGGGGGTTGGTTTCCTTTTAAGCAGAAAATACCTAACTATTTTGTCCGAAGAATCATTAAGAACATTTGCTGTATCATTTCCATGTCGGCGGGCGTTTCTGCTGATGATATGGAACACCAGCAGATCCGCGCTGCGTAAGATACACTTAGGATGTAAAAAATGATACATTAAAAAATAATAAAGCTTTTACTAACAACCTGCAGAGCATATTTTTGATGCAAAAAAGGACATTGCGAGGATCGAACTCGCGACCTTCCGCGTTTAAAGCGGACGTTATAACCACTAAACTAAACGTCCAGTAAAATTGTCAAATTCTAGGAATAAACAGTTTCCAGGAGGCCATTGGCTTACAATATATTTAAAATAACGACTCATTTTTGTGCTATTAAAATATTTGCGCATTTTTTTATAAACGAATACTTATAAGGCCTGCATCAACGCTGGTAAAATAAGGTATTTTGTTGCATTGTGTACTGTCAATTAAGGATATTGTGGCAGCGTTTACGAATTATGTGTAAAGCCCAAGCCAACTCTCATCTGCAGATCGAAGAGAGATTTGTTCGTTTATGACCATATCATATAGTAATTATGCGCCCCATCATCTTCATTTAAGTGGACTGCGCTGGGCGCGCGAATGGCAGCATAGCTACTTAGAGGCTAGGGTCACTGACGCATGCTATGGCAAAATGCTAGTCAGAAGCGTTAATTAAATGCGGTGTAGTACAGTCAGCATACACACAATGCGCGATTGTTTTCATGTAACTGCGCGTTGTGACGTCGTTCTGTGCGATCGCAGGTGTTTCTTCTTTATCTTTAGCATTTGTAAATTCATTTCACCCCTTTTTATCTCTATACTCTTAGCATCTGGAAATGAGCGCCATCGAGAGAAGCGAGCAGCGACGGCCGCCGGCGCTCGTGCGGAGCGAGACAGCCGGCAGCAGCAGCGGCGGGAAGCGGGCAAGCATAGTGTTCCAGCACCTGCATGCGGCGTCGACGTTTTCGGGGTCGCCGCAGCTGGCGCGGCAGAGCGTGGTGGAGGAGGACGAGGATGGCAGCCTGTCGTCGGCGTCAGAGCGCACGGCGCTGCTGGGATCGGTGGACAGAGCCGGCAGCGGCGGCGGCGGCGGCGGGCGCAAGTGGCGGCTGAGCAGCGCGCAGACGGCGGTGGGCAAGGCCGTGGCGGCCTACGCGGCGGCGGCGCTGTTCACGTTTGTGCCGCAGCTGCGCGAGTGGCTGGGCGACCCGGAGTACATGGCGCCGCACCTGGTGACCAACGCGGCCATCTGGTTCCACGCGGGCAAGACGCGCAGCGGGCTGGTCGAGGGCGGCGCGCTGGGCGTCGTGTGGGTGTGCGCGACCAGCCTGGTGACGCACGCGGCGCTGGCGGCCGGCGAGTGGCTGCACTTCCGCTACGCGGACGCCGTGGGGCCCGGCGTGGTGCGGCCGCTGGCGTGGCAGAGCAAGGCGTGCAGCCTGGGCGTGTTTGTGTTCGGCTTCAGCTGGCTGCTGGCGTTCTTCAAGGCCAACGCCGGCCGCGCGTCGGTGGGCACGGCCACGGCGATGGCCAACGTGGCGCTGTACCTGGTGATGCTGCGCGAGGCGCCGGTGGTCAACTACCGCGACGCCGAGGACGGCGTCGGCGAGAGCGTCGGCCGCAAGGCGGCGCACGTGCTGGTGGCCGTGCTGGCGGGCATGGCGCTGAGCTTCGCCGTCGGCTGGGCCGTGCGGCCGCAGACGGCCAGCGCGCAGCTGCGGGCGCACGTGCGCGCCACGCTGGCGTCGTTCGGCGCGATCCTGGCGCAGCTGCCGGGGCCAATCGTCGGCAGCGGCAGCGGCGGCGCAGAGGCATGCGCGGCCGTGGCGGGCCAGGCCAAGCAGCACGGCGCCAAGAGCGCGGCGCTGAAGGGCGAGCTGCGGGCGCAGCGGCAGCGGCTGCAGCAGCTGCCGGCGCACGTGCAGGCGGCGGCGCTGGAGCCGACCGAGTGGGGCTGCTGGGCGCGGCGCGGCGACGTGGCGGCGCTGGCGGCCTGCATGGACGCGCTGGGCCTGCGGCTGGGCGCGCTCAGCTGCGCGCTCGAGCTGCGCGGCGACGGCGAAAGCGGCGGCGGCGGCGGCGGCGGCGGCGAGGGCCCGGGCGACGTGGCGGCCGCCGTGCGCGCGCCGGTGGCGGCGCTGGCCTACGCGTGCCAGCGCGCGCTGGCGGCCGCCGAGACGCTGGTGGCCGACGCGCTGGGCAGCCGCCGGGCCGGCGACGAGCGCCGGTGCGCGCAGGCGCGCAGCGACATGGCCGCGGCGCTGGCGGCGTTCGAGGCCGACTACGGCCGCGCCGTCGGCACGCTGGCCGCCACTGATGACGATAGCGAAGGCGATAGCGGCGGCTCGCCAGCAGCAGGCGACGGCCACCGCGTGCTGGCCGTGCACTTCTTCGTGTTCGGGCTGCGCGACTTCGCCGGCCAGATCGCCGACGCGCTGCTGCCGGCCGTGGCCGCCGTGTGCCGGCCGCCGGCGTCCGTGCGCGCGACGCTGCGGCGCGAGCTGCTGGACGGCGCCCGGCTCGGCTCGCACGCGCGCGCATTCGGCTCGTGGCTGCGGGCGCAGCTGCGCGTGCTGTGCGACACGGGCGCCACCAGCGCGCTCGAGGCGCGGCACGAGCTCGGCGGCTCATCGGCCGGCGGCGGCGGCGCTGCCGGGGCGCTGCACGACGCCGTGCGGCCGTCGCTGGGCCTGGGCGTGTGGCGCATGAGCATGTGGCTGCGGCGGCCGAACGTGCGCTTTGCGACCAAGTACGCCGCCCTGGTGACGCTGCTGTCGCTGCCGTGGTACTGGAGCATCGACATGTACTGGGCGGCGCGCGCGCGGCGGCTCGAGTGGACCGTGGTGTCGGCCGCGGCCATCATGGCGCCGACGGTCGGCGGCTCGGCCGTGGTCAGCGTGTACCGCGTGCTGGGCACGTGCGCCGGCGGCCTGGCGGCGTTCGTTGTGTTCGAGGCGGCCGCCGGCTGCGCGGCCGTGGCGTACGCCCTGCTGGTGGCCGTGGCCGTGCCGTGCTTCCACGTGATGCTGCGCGGCCGGTACCCCAAGATCGGGCAGTTCGCGCTGGTGGCCTTTGGCGTCGTGCTGGTCAACCGCTGGGTCGCCAGCGAGGACCAGGGCGAGAGCGCCGCCGGCCTGGCGCTGCGCCGCACGGCGGCCGTGGCGCTGGGCGTGGCCGCCGGCATGCTGGCGTCGGCGTACGTGTGGCCGTTCGAGGCGCGCGTGCGCCTGCGCCAGGCGCTCAGCTGGTGGCTGCTGACGGCGCACGTGCTTGTGGCGCGCCAGTGGGGCGGCGGCGGCGGCAGGGATTCCGACGACGAGGCGAGCTCTCAGGCCGCCGCCGAGCTGCAGCTGCAGGGCGCGCTGGTCGAGGCGCGCGCGCTGCTGGCCGACACGCTGAACGAGCCGCGGCTCAAGGGCCCGTTCCCCGTGGACGCGTACCAGCACGTGATCAACGCGTGCCAGCGCATGCTGGACGCCGTGGTGGCGGCGCGCTGGGTGGCGAGCGGCGAGCGGGCGGCCGTGGCGCGCATCGCGGACGCCGCGGACCGGCGCCAGCACCGCGACGCGCTGCTGGCGCTGACCATGTACGTGCTGGCGTCGGCGCTGGTGCTCAAGACGCCGCTGCCCGAGGTGCTGCCGCCCATCAGCGGCGCGCAGCAGGGCGTGGCGGCGGCGCTGGCCGGCCTGCTCGACCCGGCGGACGGCGCTGACGGCGACGGCGACGGCGACGGCGACCCCCGCCGGGCTGCCCATGCGCGCTACGTGTTCTACTACACGCACGTGCTGCTGGCCGGCGAGCTGGTCGACGAGCTGGCCATCGTCGCGCGCCTGATGCGGGCGCTGTACGGGTCGTCGCACGCCGGGCTGCTGCGCGCGCATGTGTAAGAACGGATCAGTGTTTAATAGTAAGAATTCAGTAATCAGCTAGATCTCCACGTTGCGCTGCTCGTGCGGCGCCCGGCTGTCGGCCGCGTCGTGCGCCACCATGCGGTTGACGGCCGACAGGTACGCGCTGGCCGACGCCGTGATGATGTCGACGTCGGCCGCCACGCCGGCGAACTTGGGCTCGGCGCCCGACGCAGCCAATGGCGTGGCGGCGGCGCCGTCCGGCCCGCCGCGTGCAATGCGCACGGCCACCTTGCCCAGCGTCTCCTGGCCGGTGCTGGTGGCCGACACGTTGAAGCTGAGCAGCTCGATGGGCAGGCCGACGATGCGCTGGATGGCCGAGTACGTCGCCTCGATCGGGCCGTTCTTGGCCACCGCCACGTCGATGACGTCGGCGCCGGTCTGCGCGTCGTGCAGCGTCACGGCCGCCGTCGGCGTCACGCCCACGCCCGTGAACACCTGCATGTGCTTGAGCGTGTAGCGGCACACGGGCGCGTCGCCGGCCGGCGTGGCGTCGTCGGCCTCGCCCGCCGCCGCCGCCGCCGCCGGGTCGGCCGACGCGCCGCGCGTGGCCGAGCGCACGTCGGCCACCAGCGCGTGCATGTCGCCGTCGGTCACGCCGGTCTTCTTCGAGTCGGCCAGCTGCTTGAAGCGCGCGAACGCCGCCTGGAACTGCGCGTCGGCCAGCGCCGCGCCGCCGTAGCCCAGCTCCTCGAGCTTGGTCTTGAACGCGTGGCGGCCCGAGTGCTTGCCCAGCGCCAGGTTGCCGGTGGTCACGCCGACGTCCTCGGGCCGGATGATCTCGTACGTCTGCTTGTTCTTGAGCACGCCGTCCTGGTGGATGCCGCTCTCGTGCAGGAACGCGTTGCGGCCCACAATCGCCTTGTTGGCCTGCACCGCCATGCCCGACAGGTCCTCGACCATGCGCGACGTCGAGTAGAACAGACGCGTGTTGATCGTGTGGAACACCGGGTACGCGTCCGGGTGCGTGTGCACGTTCATCACCACCTCCTCCAGCGCCGTGTTGCCGGCGCGCTCGCCGATGCCGTTGATGGTCACCTCGACCTGCCGCGCGCCGCTGCTGACGCCGGCCAGCGTGTTGGCCGTCGCCAGGCCCAGGTCGTTGTGGCAGTGCGTCGAGAACACGACGCCGTCGGCGCCGCGCGTGTTGGCCCGCAGGTGCGCCATCAGCGCGCCGTACTCCTGCGGCGTGTTGTAGCCGACCGTGTCGGGGATGTTCAGCGTCGTGGCGCCGGCCTCGATCGCCACGGCCAGCGCCTCGCACAGGAACGCCGGGTCCGAGCGCCCGGCGTCCTCGGGCGAGAACTCGATGTCGCTGCACAGCGCCTTGGCGAAGCCGACCATCTCGGCGATGC